GAAGCTCGCAGTGAGTTTTTCCGTTATGTCCGTGCCGGGGGTCTCGGGCCATTACTCACCCCGTTGTTGATAGGCTACTTTCGGGAGGTCTATGGGCGAATGTTTCCGGCCGACACGAACCTACCCGTCTTGCTCCCTACCGACAAGGCAGAGGTCCTTCGATTAGAACTCCAACACCTCTCCATCAAATTAGCTCTCGGGGGAAACTACTGGGGACCTGTCCGACAAGCACTCCTCGCCCCCACGTCCCACCGTAAACGCGTCTTAGATTTGGTCACGCTCGAGGGCACCTGGTACGCCGTTTTCAGGCCGACTGACAAACGACACTGACACCAAACAAGGGCTCAAGAAATGTCGCGCGAGTTTCCCGATGTGGATTTCGTAAGCTTGGATTTGTCGCCCCTGGCTCCACACCCACCACGCCCCAATGTGGTATTTGAAGTGTACGACCTCTACAACGGGTTCGCTGAACCTGACAACTCATTTGACGTGGTTCATTTGAGGCACGCCGCTGTACCAGTGGGTGTATCTCAATCCATGGTGTGATAAGCCCTAATGCTAATTCTCGGCAAGATGAAGGATTTCAAGTCTTTGATTCACGAAGTCTATCGCGTGTTGCGGCCCGGCGGCATTCTTTTGTTCTGCGAATACGAGCTTGAAGCGTACGACGCCGAATTCCCGGACATACCCGCTTGGGCGTCTCTCCCCGGTATCTCGAACGCGCTTCGACTGGCGAGGGGCGGCCTGGCCCATCAAGGTGTCAATGTTTATGTGTGGCGAGACCTTCCAAAGTGGCTACCGTGGGATTCATCGTTTTGGAAGGAAGATAGCTCGTACGGGGATGAAGAACTTGATGATACGGATACAGAGTCCGAGTCGAGCGTTATCCCCAGTTCTCAACCGTCCCAATCCGAGCCCGACGGAGTGAGGGGATTTACTGGGGTGCAAACTTGGGCGAATCTGATGCCCGCAGCACCTTGGCATCCCGACCCGCGCCTGCGCGAGGTGGGGAAACTTGTTCAGCGCGTATGGGCCGACGTATGGCGGAATATGGGCTCTTCTCTTCAGTTGAGTGGGATGTCGGAGCGGGATGCGACCGAGACGATACGTGCGGCCGTAAACGATATCGAGCAGCCTCCAGTCCGAATTGCTGCCAAGTTACACACGTTGTATGCGTTCAAGGTCGACCCATACGCTTCTAATTATGCGAGCGAGGACTGAGATGAGGTGGGGCCTTGCATGATCGGTCTTGTTTTAGCTTGCTATGTAATCGTTTGTTATTTTTATGGGGTATAGTGCGGACAACCAATTACTTTCATGTGACAAGTATCATGACTTGACGGGCAATCCTTTTTCCCATTTGTTGATCGAAGTTCTCCCGTTCGGCATCCTTCCCTTCATTGCGATCCGAAGTGACTCGGGGATTGAGTTATGGTTGTCTGGGGTTGGCAGACTCCACGATAAGTTGAAGGCCAATTCAATTACGAACTGACGGGTATAAGACCATTGGGCCTATTTCTTGGACCTTCAGCTCCTAAACCGCCTCTCGCCCACCACCTTTCCTTCATCATGCGCATCCTATTCTTTGTGACAGCCCACAACTCGCTTTCGCAGCGTGTTTATACCGCGCTCACTGACCCTACCTATGGACACCAAATCTCAGTCGAATATGCTACCTCTGCTGAAGCCATGATAGAGGCCGCCGAGCTCGCAAAACCAGAACTCATCGTTTGCCCGTTCTTGACTCGCAAGGTTCCTCAAGAAGTTTATGACAAGGTAAAGTTGACTTCTGAGAACCATTTCCTGATTCACTCACCCGATTTGGCTTGCCGCCGGCAGTACCTCACGCTCATCGTCCACCCGGGTGCTCCGGGCGACGCAGGTCCCAGCGCACTCGACTGGGTACGTTTAGCTCCTATAATTCACATGAAGTAGCCAATTCATAGATACCATAGGTTTTGATGGGAGACACGGGTTCATCACCATCTGCCCCTGAAACTCTTGCTCGCGTGGCCTCGGCGCCTCTTCCATCCAAGCCTCGTTCTCACTGGGCCGTGACTGTACTTCAGGCTGAAGAAGAATTTGACAAAGGACCCGTCTGGGCTTGGGAACAATTCGAGCTCCCACAAACTCTAGAAGTCGATGGAGTTGCACATGCAACTGTCACCAAGGCTGGGCTGTACCGCGCTCAAGTCACTCGTGCGGCTCTCGTTGCTGTATTGGCGGCGCTCGAACGCATTCAAGCTGCTGGTACCGAACGGGCCGCCAAGGATTTGAACGCTGAAACGGCCAACCCTAAATACCCCACAGATCTTTCTCCCCCTGAAGTCGCCAAATTTTCAGTCACTCTCAAGGCCCCATTCTTGGGTAGCGAAACTCACACCCGGCCCCTGCTCCGACCTGCCGAACGTGCTCAAGCTTGTGATCCCCGTAAGCACAGTGCCGTTGCGTGTGCGGCCGTGGTCAGGGCTGGGGATAGCCAACCTGGTGTCCTCGTCCGTTGGCTCGATCCTCGTGATTCGTCGACCGTCCAGGGCAAGAATCTTTTCATTTACAATGCCTTTGTCGAGGAAAACCGCCTCCCGAACTGGTGCGACGAAGTTCCCGTTGGCAAGATTGCCGCCACGCGCGATGGTGCTGTTCTCATCAAGACGGCTGATCATGGCCGACTCGGCGGCTATGGCTTGTGGATCACTCATGTTCGCGCTCCCCTTGCCAAGGGTGTAACTGGAGCGTTGAATCCCAAGTTGCCGGCGGTAGACGGTCTCAGGAGTGCAGGGCTCGGCGCGGCGGTGCAAAACGTAAGGGAATGGAATGTCTGTGGCAAGGTCGTGCTCGAGCAAGATAGGCGAAATAACGAATCCGCCGTGAAAACTGAAATTGGATGGGTGAAGCGTCCAGGAACCTGGCAGCAAACGTGGGTAGAATTTGAGGAGCTTAGGGACGGTGGCAAAGCCGCATATGTCTATTTCGATTATTAGTGAGTATGGGGCTTCGTATTTCAACGCATATCACTGATCCGCCGGCAGTAACGGCGCCTTTATGACATCTCAGTGTGAGCAACTGTTGCGTGCCCTGCGATGGGCTACGCATCCCGATCGCGGGGACCTCAGGTTCTTGGTTCTCATGGTGAGTTGCTTGCAGTTTGGAATAATTGTCCTTGTAATCAAATTGTGTTTCAGGGTGGCTCCTATTTCTCTAATGGTATCGCACTCAACACTGTTGAAGGCAGCGAGGATCCATCGCTCGAAGGCTGGAAGAACATAAATGCTATCAACGATGTCGTGGAGCTCGTCATTTCTGACTCGTCCGTGCACGCCAAGCGTCTTGCCAAGAATCCCAAGGTCGCCGACGCATTCAAGCCCCTCTTCCGTGGTCGTAGCCTAGCTGAGCGTGGTATTGTTACCGTTGCATCTGTGCGCTCCAACGTCGCAGCTGGTGGATTCGCAGTCGCTACCGCCGCCGATATCGTCCTCTGCTCCGAGTCGGCCGTCATCAACCCTCACTACCGAGGCGTCGGTCTGTATGGCTCCGAGTTCCACAGCTATTCGTTCTATGAGCGAGCGGGTGAAGAAAAGGCTCGCGAGTTGCTACGTACCATGCTCCCGATGAATGCCGCCGAGGCCTGCAGGCTCGGACTTGTGGATGAAGTGATGAAGGGCGGCGATGCTGATTGCTACGTCGAGCGCACCAAGGCTTACGTTCGCCAACTCGCCGGTGAGCGCGCGGATGCCATATCCAAATACAAGTCCGCTCCCTGGACCCGCTCGAAATCCGGAGAAGTCCATCCAAATATCCCACTCGCCGACCTACTCATTGCCAATAAACTTGCCACCCACGCCGCATTTACCCGCCCATTGGTCTCTTATCGCCATGCTGAATTGTCCCAGATGCTGCTCGACTTCTATCATCCGACCCGTTCCAAGAGGTTCAGTGATCGCCGTCGCGCATTTGTTCGCAAGATTGCACCCAAGACGACACCCCTGCGCTTCGCAACTCACCGCCGTGAGGCTGGGAAATTGGACGAAGAAGAGACTGACGAGTTTGATGCTGCCGAGGGCTGGACTCCGGGTACTGGTGTCGAATGGGGCTGGGTCGGGTTGCCCGCCCCCCCTACGAGCGAGGCGTGGAAAGAAGTCCGACCTGAATCGCCCTCGACGCCCAACGAAGAGACCCCCGGGCTATCAGCTGGTGGTAGCACCACTTCGGTCGCAGCAAAGACCGGACCCCAGACGCCCGCTGACATCCAGATGAAGCCCATGCCCGAGGACGTACAAGCCAAGTTGGCGCCGGTAAACCTCGGGACGAAGCTCACGCCCGAAAACGGGAACGCATCTGAGCGCCCAGCATCGACGGGCCGCCTCTTTGTTCCGGGCCGTCCGACGCGTCGAGGGAGTGATGCTGAGCTGAGCCGGTCGTCTGGTGATGGACATTTGACCCCGCCTTCCGCTGCTGGGTCCTCGAACGGGCTACGTCGGTCCCGGTCCTCGGTCGACGTGGGTTCGAGCCCTGAGCAGGAACAGTCTGGTCGTAACCGCAACAGGGTCTCGCGCTGGTTTGGGTCGGCGATCAAGTCGGTGAAATCGCCCACTGCTACACGCACTGCGGCTCCCAAGACTCCTGAGAAGGCTGTCACTGGGGAAAAGGAGGAGATTCTCTACCCTTGCTACTATGACAACAATAAAACCAACTGAATGCTGTCTTGCTAGATGACTGGAGTGTTTCGTGTACAATATTCTTGTTTTCGTTGGAATAACTTTTTATAAATCCTACGCTCGTTTTTAGTCCCGACTTTATGTTCGATCCCGTCGCTCTTTTACTCTCTGTTTCTCTTGCCCTCTCTTGGATCGGTGTTTGTAATCGATACACAATATTTAATTGGAGTAGATATTTAGCTTGTGCGTGTATGCGAGTCCGAGCGTGCATTAAGTAGTTGGAAAGATAATGCGGAGACGTTTACTATAGATGGGTTATATTGCACTGCACAAATCTGGAAACAAGGGCATGTAGCGCAGTTGGTAGCGCGCTCGCTTAGCAACAAGTTGGGATTTGAACCCTGCTTACGTAACTCGCGTGCGAGAGGTCTCCAGTTCAAACCCGGACTTGTCCATTCTTTTTTCTACCCTTTTCTTTTGCTCGTTCCACTCCGAGTCGATGCCCCCTTTTTTCCACTTGATATCTCTGCCCTTAAAATTTGGGGGCGTCCGCCATTTCACATCAACGCCCCCTCATATCAACTATTTCAGTGTCAAAGTAACTCTTGTTTTCTCAAGTATTATATCTATGTTCGC